TGATAACAGGAGACAAAGACAAAGGTAGAATAGTTTCAGAGTTCTAGTAAAATCCGCATCTCAAAGACAGCAGGAATCTTCATCACAAAGACACACAGGCAGGACAACTGTTAGCAAGGTGGCAACTAACAGACGGGCGAATTGCGGATTTTTTTAGGATCTTTATTTCTAAATCTCACTTGGAAACAGAACTCAGATCCAACCAAAATTCCTGATTATGTTTAAATTCACCAAAGGTTAGCTAATTGACTAATAATTTTAACTTGTGACAGCTGAGTTCGTTAGTTCCCAGGACTTTGGATCAAAGATTCCTCCCTTCTTCAGATACTCAGCAGATGCACATTCCCAGAGTGATTAGGGTTGATAGCAACGCTGTTTGGGTGTGAATGAGTTAGGTACCAGGTGTCAGAAGGCCACTAATCAACCTGGAGAAGCTTCTTCCTGAGATAAGCAACTTCACACATTTGGAGACTGTTAGCCTGCAGTGTTAAAGCAACAAAACCCATTTCCCATAAATCTTATGGCTTTTGACTTCCCACAATACTTTGCTTCTCACTTGACCAAAGTTTGGATCTATTGAAATTTCCCAACTTCACTACAGCTACGCTAAAACCATGCGTGCATTTCAAAGGCTAATAAACGGCCGTCAAATAGATAATCATCTGTTTGCAAAACATGCAGCGTATAAATAACAGGCACTAGAGCAAAAACATGGCAAGAGGAACGGTCGCTTCCTTCCTTCTAACAATGTAAGAGAGGTGATAACAGCAGGGAATGTAAACTATATCTTCATAGGAAGCTATATGCAGCTGCTCCATACAAGAGTCAGACCAGTGGTCTATCAGCCACAATTCTGTCTACTCTGACTGGCAACAGCTCTCCCAGGCCTCTTGAGCTCTACAAACCGGAGATCCTTCAACTGAATATGCTGGTGACTGAATCCAAGGTTATTTGCACTACTCCAAATGAAAAAATGGGGAAAAATTGGAGGCATAATAGTTGAACTGTATAATATGAAATAAGATTTGAAAGAAGGTGAGGTATTGCTGAATAAGATTGTGTAAAAGGGAACACAGAAAAGGGAGATGTGAGGGAGTCTGGAAGGAGGATTATGAGAACAATATCTAAGAATTGGTTTTTTTATGTCTTTTAATGTCTTTTTTCTTTTGCTCTTTATGATGGGTTTTTTATTGTGCTTTTCTGTTTTTTGGATTGAATGTGATGGTGTTTTTTTTTTTTTGTATCCTGTATTGTGAAGTTTGTTTTATTGTTTGAAACTTTTAATAAATATCTTTAAAAAAAATATATTTGCACTACTCCTCTGGTTTGCACCCTTCTGTTATCCAATTCCCGCCAGGTTACTATGATTATTAAATGAAATACAGTAAGCTTACCTGGAGCAGCAGGTGGATAACCACCGGCAGGAGGATACCCGGGATAACTCATTCTGCAGGACTGCAAAAAGAAGAACAATGATTTAATACACTGCAAAGTGTTAATTACATATTTTATTTATATCAGTTGGTAGAGCCTGAGGCTCTTAATCTTAGGTTCATAGGTTCAAGCCCCACACTGGGCAAAATATTCCTGTATTGAAGAGGGTTGGACTAGATGACCCCATGGTCTCTTCCAACTCTACAATTCTATATTCTGAATACCAGTCGCTGGAAAGAAGGCAGTAGTGATCAGATCCTGCTTGCGGTTTCCGAAAAGGCATCTGGTTTGCCACTTTGAGAACAGGATGCTGGCCTATATGAGCCACTGGCCTGATCCTGCAAGCTCTCCGTACATTCTTACATACACAACACATAGCAGCTTAAAACTAAAGCAGCTGGGATTGTTTTGAAAACTTTTGGGATTTTACCATCAAATTTAGCTTCGTTTTGCCTTCTTCCACAAGCTCTGCCATCTCACCCATTATCCTCAAAATCATCTTTGTGGTAGTTTACACTGAGAGATGGCAAGTGGCTCAAAGTAGGATCTGTGGACAAATGAAGGGTCTTTTTGTCAAATTCTAGCACTACGCAACTATTTCTCATTACATCGTGTTGTGCATTTTTATAGTTTTGATGCCACTATCACTGAGATAAATTGTAACCTCATGATCCTGGCAATCTCAGGAGATTCCTGCCATCCAAAACTGTATGAGATCTAGATTTAGGAAACCGCAAAGCACTGTAGCTACGGGACTTTTTTCATATGATTGCAATCACAGGTAAAATAAAGGACACTTTAGTGGTTTTTCATCCTCAGGCTGGAACTGGGTGCACCTTTTTAATGACACAGCTGCAGATGTGACTTATTAATCTCAGAATCAGGAACTGTAGAATTGGAAGGGACACCAAAGGTCATGTGGTCTAACCCCCTGCAATGCATGTTCAAACAGTGAACATCATGCATCATGTTCACAAAGTGGGGAACCAGCAGTCAATCAAACGCAAGTGATATGCTGCATGTGTATGCTGCAAGCACATTTTTTCCTTATCTGCACATATTAAAACGCTTTAAATATGCATGTTGCAGATTTAAATTTCTAAAGCAGGTCCTGCTTTGTCTTCAGCTTCAATGCCCTCCACCCCCCCACTTAAATAATACTCCCAGGGTGGTTCCCCCAGAATCAGGCTGTTAGACAAGCTCTCCTGTCCACAAGCAGTTCTTTCTCCCTAGTAAAACATGAAGCCACTTCCTTTATTTTAAGCTACATTTATAACTTCTACTTTTCATAGTAAAGGTTTTCAAATGAGAGCTAACAAGAACTCAAACACATTACTTTGGCGTGAAACGTAGCTAACTGAAAATACATCAATGGAACCTAGTATTACTTTTTAGTAAACAACCAGTAAAAAGAGGGGAGCCTTCTCCAGATGTGGCACACAAAACATCTGCCCCATTACGAACAAATCCAGGAGAGCAAGTTTTTGATGTTAGATCCCTCTGCCTCTAGAACTGTAAAGCTCTTTTTAAAAAAAATACAGCCCATAATAGGCTCATTCATTCCTACCAGCCACCCCAAATGCCAGCAAGTAAAGAGGGAACAAGGGGCACAAGCAAAGAACTGTGCTGGGAGGCAAGACAAGTCGGCAGGCAGAGAAGCTTGTTGATTTAGCTGCCTCCCCGAGGTTGGAATTCATTTCGTCCGTCTGAAGCCGAAAGCGCGTTGCTATGCCAACTTTCCCACCCTGAGTTACCTGCAGGAACTATGGCGATACTGTGGGACCACATTCCAGTTAGAACTGTGCTAACCAGAAGCTGCACATGGATAATTTCAGAGCGTTATGAACTAGTTGAAACTGGTAAAACACTTATGTTATTCCTATTTTACACACAGATGGAAGATGAAAGAGATTTTAGAGGAAAATGGCAGTGGGTGGGGAGGTGCGCCACATGGTCTTTCCCAAGGTTTGAAATTCCTTTTAGAATTGCTTGCTTCCCCCCCCTTTTTTTTTTTTGCAATTAACTGGGGAATGGAATTAAAATGGCTGTTTCACACAGCACATTCTGAAACTATGATATCCAGCAATGCCGCTGCCCATGACGAGAATAGTTTTACATAGGTGTTACAGAACTAAGGGCTCATTCACACTTCTGCTGCTTGCCCCCCAGGGATATCTTACTGCTAAATCAGAGCCAACACCAATTTTCTCCAGACTGATGTTTGCTCCCAATTCACTGCTGAAGAGTGGGTATTTGGGGGGAGGGGGACTGTGGGGCAAAAGGCAAAACTGCTTGGACTCATGCCCAGGAAGCACAAGACAAGCCTGAATAGCTCAGTTGGCTGATCATGTGAAGGTTGCAAGTTTTGATCCCCACATGGGAAAGCTGCATATTCCTGCATTGCAGGGGGTTGAACTAGATGATCCTCAGGGTCCCTTCCAACTCTGGCATTCTATGATTCTATAAGTGGGAAACATCTCGGACCCTCTTCATCTGAACTGCATGGTTTATTTAACCAAGGTGCACTGTTACAAATGCACTGGTACCAACCATGGTTAATACTGAAAAGGATTGCCCTAATCCAGGGGTACAGCAAAAAATTTTCAGCAGGGGCCGGACTATATTTTTTGGGGGGAAATGAACAAATTCCTATTGCCCCACAAATAACCCAGAGATGCATTTTAAATAAAAGGACACATTCTACTCATGTAAAAAAACACCAGGCAGGCCCCACAAATAACCCAGAGATGCATTTTAAATAAAGCACACATTCTACTCATGTAAAAACACGCTGATTCCCAGACCGTCTGCGGGGCCGGATTTAGAAGGCAATTAAGCTGGATCTGGCCCCCGGGCCTTAGTTTGCCTCACCCATGCCCTAATCTCTTATAGCACATTGAACGCAGCACAGACCAAAAGGGGAAAAAATAGAGTTAACATGCCACCTCCCCTCCTCCTCCAGCGTAATTCAACAGATTCAATAACATCAGTCCAGAATCCATTGGGACTGACCAGTCAAGCCAAATGTAGCCCACTAGCAACCTATTAAGGCCTGCCAGGTACTAAACACCCCCCTCCCCGTTTTTGCAGTTCTAGGAAGGTAGGGGGAAACCATGAGGCTTCACTGAGTCCTCCCTGGGCTGCCATTCAGAGCCCGCAGGTTGAATTTGATTTGGTGGGGGGCAAAGCCAGACAGCTCTATGTAAACCGACCACCAGATAATTTGCAGCCTACTATCAGCGGTGGACGAAACATTGGGACAAAAGCAAGAGGAAAATAGCCAGTTCTCAAACAACAGGATGTTTGTACTGGAATTTTTAAGCCTCATGCAGTTTCCAAGGGAAGTTTCCACCCATAGCAAGTTAGAGGGAGTTTAAGAGAAATGGGGAGCTGAACCACTCAATCCTCCTCTTCCTTCACCATTTCCCCAAAACCTGAACGAAATAGAGGAGTGAGGCACTGCAACACAAACTGAGGATGCTAGATACAACGTATTACTACTACCGGCCAGCACAACTCGAGGCACAATTAAGCTCAAACACACCCTACTGACTGACCATGGATGATGGCCCACCAAGTGGCTCAACAAACCACCTGTTCTTGCTGCCAGGGCAGAACTTTAAAAAGAGGAGAGCAGTGAAGCCTCTGGCAGGTCACGGTGGGCTGCGTGAGGCTTGGCTAGTCAGTAGTTGCGCAGGCCTGTAATTAACAGTCGGATTCCCACCATTAAAGCACCAGGAACTGAAATTGCTTTGGTTTTGCTTCTAGATTTCTCAAGTTTCCTACTTAACAATCTGAAAGCTCCTTAGGGAGAAATGCCTTACGGTAACAGACTCATTCTGCTGTATCTTAGATTTCACAGCCTTTCAACCCCCCCCCAACGACATCCCTGCATCTGAAAGAGCGACTCACTTGATCAGGTGAGTTCTAGCCTACTAAAACTTACACCACAATAACTGTTGCCTTTAAAGCTCTTAGTTGTGATTTTGCTCCTCAGAAAGTTGTGAGTTCGATTCTTGCATCGCAGGACTTGGGTGGGACTAGATGACTCTTGGGGACCTCCTCCAACTCTTCCAAGTCTATGAGCACAGTTTAAAACCAAAGTGCTTATACTGTGACATTCTAAAAACCATTCGGAGGTTCTTCCCATCTTAATTCGCTTTGATTTTTAAAGTTATAATAACTGTTGCAAGGGGGGAAATGACTTAGAACAGGCATAGGCAAACTCCGGCCCTCCAGATGTTTGGGACTACAATTCCCATCATCCCTGACCACTGGTCCTGTTAGCTAGGAATGATGGGAATTGTAGTCCCAAACATCTGGAGGGCTGGAGTTTGCCTATGCCTGACTTAGATTAAACTAACTAACTAAAAGTGGAGAATGGAAAGGAAGGAATGAATGAATGGCAGTTGTTCATTCAATCAGGTGCATAAATAGCCACTTGCCAGTAACAAGTTAAGAACTGGTTCCAGGAGACAAGCCAAGGAAATATGCACAGCACACACAGCCCATCTAGGCATAAGTGCTGACAGACTAGTCATCTCTGTTGCTAGCAGCAGTTGTGGGCTCATCAGCAAAGCTATCCGTAAATGCAAACCAGGGAACCTGACACCTTGAAACTGTGGCTTTTAATTTTTTTTAAAAAAAGCCCTGGCTCTCAGTTTGTAGAGATGAACACTTGCTTCTACACTTGGACCTTTGAGTGCAGCTGGGGCACTGCTCCTACCCAATTTTCTGGTACCACCAAGTGTTTAGAGTGTCGCTATAATCCCCGTAATATTTGCACAATGCCCTTCCCTATGGGAAAGGCAGAAGCAACTCCTCAGAAGCAATTCCTTTCCTGCTTCCTTTTTTCAGCCCCTTTTAAAACCAGGCACTTCCTCCTTCCTTATTTGATGTATTTTTTAATGACTCAGACTTCACTCTGTGGCAAGAGCCCTACAATCCGCAAGTTCCTGGTTATCTCCCAGTTGCCATCAACCCTGCAGCAGAGCTGTTCTTATCTGCAGCCTGAGTAAATC